CCTAGGCTGGAGTGCAGTGATGTGATCATAGCTCACTGCAGCCTCAAACTCCTCGGCTTAAGCCACTCTTCCACCTCAGGCTACCAAGTATCTGAGAATACAGGCATGTACCTCCATACGAGACTAATTTAAAATAAAAATTCTGTTTTTGAGACAGTGTCTTGTTATGGTGCCCAGGATGGTCTCAAACTCCTGGCCTTCTGCAATCCTCGTGCCTCAGCCTCCCAAGTAGCTGGGATTACAGAGGCAACCAATGCACCCAGCCAGATTATATATTTTAACATAAACTTGTTTCTAACTATACATAAAAATATGAACAGGACCAGAATGTTGTATAGTCTTGCCATGTGACAAGGAAGATAATAGTAGAATGAAATCATGGACTAATTACCTCTGAAGTTACGGGTAAACAATGTTGAGGCCAGAAACTCGTTCTGAAGACTTTTCCCATAGAGACAACCAAGTTTCTAGAACTTCCCTCTAAGAAACCTGGATGAGTTGTAATTATATGTAGAAGCAGTATGTTAAATGATGCTGGGAAACAACCATTGAAAGGGAGTTCTGGTTCCTAATCTTCGTAAAAAGTGTAATGAATTTAAGAATGCATACTTTAAAATGTGGAGAGCATCAGTGAAGTCATCTGAGGTCTTCTAAACTCACCTGTGGATTTTCACAACATGCTGAGGCATATATTAACTTTCTAGGTGAAGAGATTTGAGCATAAAGTAAAATCTGAGGACACTAGGGTTTAACTGAGCTAACACACACACAATTAACCATAGCACTGCTAGATCTAGTCTGTGAGTTAGCATTTTCTCTTTAATGTTTTATCAAATACCCTGGCCATCTTCCTGAGGAAAATGGAGCTTGAATCTGATTTTAATCAACAGTGAAGGGTTTGAATACTTCTAAATTTTCCAGGTGGAATGAAAGTGTGTGATCTTTAAATGGAACTAAGGGCTCTCGTTGTCATCTTCAACTTCAAGAGAGTTTAATTTTAGGGGTTAGTATCACAAAGGATTGACAAGTCACACACTGAAGTGGTAATGGTCCTTTGAGAGGAGAACAAGAACATTGGTCTTCTCAAGGTGCTAAAGTGATGATGAGAGGCTTAAGTGTCCTTATATGTCATTAATGTGAAAAGCAAAGTATGTTCAAGTTGAATTTGCAGTGTCCTTACCATGACAAGTTTATAGCCTCTTACAGATTAATAGCATGGCTGCCAAAATTGCCTTGGTGCCTACACATTAAAGGTTCACAAATGAAACAGGTTTTTTTAATTTAACCTCTGAGAATATTTATTTATTCCCCTTCCCTATTTATTAGCTTTTTTACTGAATTGAGTAATTAGAACACTTCTCTTTTGCTGAAAAATGGCAAGTGCTAAGGTAATTTTTCCTTTCCCCTTCGTAGTAAACAGTAAATTGATTTTAAAAAAAAAGGTACTTCCACACATTAAAAATGGCACTAGAAAGACACATAGTGCTAAGCCACTTTAGAATGCAGATTGCTTAAGTCATCCACACTTTCAAGTTGCTGATCTCTTCGCAAAATTTGCAGTGCATATGTAGTTCAGCTTCAACTACATGATTTTGTTTACTTTACAGGATAGTGCTGACCAATAAGCAAATCATTTTTTAAAAAACACCCCAACTAGTCAATAAGTAACATGTTTACATGTGTTAGTTATGTTTAACATGTATTAGTCAGTTCTCACACTAATAAAGACATACCTGAGACTGGGTATTCATAAAGGAAAGAGTTTTAATTGACACACAGTCCAGCATGGCTGGAGAGGCCTCAGGAAACTCACAATCATGGCATAAGGGGAAGCAAACACGTCCTCTCATACATGGCAGCAACAAACAGAAGCGCCCAGAAAAAGGGGGAAAAGCCCCTTATAAAACCATCAGATCTCGTGAGACTTACTCACTATCACGTGAATAGCATGAGGGTAACCGCCCCTGTGATTCAATTACCTCCCACTGGGTCCCTCTCACAACATGTGGGGATTACATGAACTACATTTCAAGATGAGATTTGGGTGGGGAACAGTCAAATCATGTCAGCATGTACTTATCTTTCTGAGTGATACCTCCTGCAATATGTGATAATAGTAGGAGGTGAAAGTCACTTACTCATTTTTAATTCTCTTTCTTGCACACAGAAGGATTGCTTAGATCTTGCCTGATTGTTTTTAGGTCTATTTTTAATATCTAATGCATGAGGTGGGACTAATTGATATGATCATAATTCTAGCTCTCGTCAATTGCTGAGTGACTCAAGGAAAGTTATGTTCTCTGATTTATAAATTCTCTGTGCAAAGAGAAGGTATCAAGTGTAATGGACCTACTTTACAAGAATTTTGAAAAATGCAACTTTGAAAATCAAACAGAAAATGTTCCCAAACTCAAAGTGCTATATAAATATTTAATTATGTTAGCACTGATTAAAATGCCCAGTAGAGATATATTAATCTTGTTTTAGACCATCTTTTTTTTTTTTTTTGCAAGAAATTCCAGATAGACATTAAGCATCACTCTTGATTAAACATTTATACAAGTAAGTGCCTTGGTACTGCTGTTTTTGATTCATGTCTAAATAGCCTAGGGCCTAGGCACTTGTGGTTAAGTTTAATTTTCTGCAAGGATACTTTGTATCTTACATTGGAATGGTTCTTTAGGGAAACGTAAGCTCCTTTTGAGAGTAGTTTGAGGACAGTCACTGATGTCCTAGGGAAGTTGCTGCCAGACGTTTCGTTTCATGTCCTTGATATTTACTTCGTAAACAAGCTAACAAATGAGGGTTGAATAGTTTACTACAAGCAATGCTTGTAGCGAAGGGAGAACTGGGTGAGATTGGGCCCTGCACTGCTAAGGGATAGAGGAGAGGGTCTCTGCTCAAGAGACTGTGGGAGGCTTTAGGTAGAATTTGCATCTCGAGGGGTGAGCCCTCTGAGCCTGCCCGGCAGAAAGTATTTCCAGAGAAACAAAATGCATCTGTCCAATCCACACCATCTCACCAGAGGACCCTCTAATAATGGCTATCTGACTATAAATACTTTTTGTTAAGCTAAGGAAACCACTGAAGTTCATTTGAAATGAAATGTCTGTTTTTTTTTTAGTAATTTACTAAACATCTTGAATCTTGTGGGCTGCCAACATGGTATGTTGAGATTTTTTCTGTAATCACTTATTTTGACTATTAATTATCTTTCCTTGTTTAATTACCTGCATTCTAATTCAGTCTAGCCTGTCCACTCTCTCCCAGTGTTGGGCAGCCCTTAACCGCAGGGACTGGGAGCAGAGAAAGGGCAAGATATACCCTTTTTTACCACTCCTCTTCATTCTTAACATTTCTGCTTCTTTGGGATTGGGGTAGGGGAAGAAGACTTAAGGGAAGAAGTAAAATTATTTTTACAAGTGCTATTATAGGACATGTTTGATTTTGTATTTTGCCCCATGCGGTAAGTTCTCAAATGTGGACTTTGTTGTCAAGCTCAAGTGGGAGGCCACTCGGTTAGTGTCTGACACATCAGATACATCAGATATCCACTGGCTTGACTTCCTTGTGCCTGGTCCAGCAGTGCATACCCCAAAGTCTCTTGCTGCTTGGGTTACTGTGGCTGGCAGGAGGCCTCCTTGGGTCCTGCCAAGACAACTCCAGCTCAGCTGCCTTGACAGGGCTCTGCCTGTCCCAGGGGAGTATGATGTATCCTTGTCCTCCCAATGGTGGGGATGCTTATCACCTGATTGACTGCTGACTCCTCTCTAGTTTTGTTCTACCCTGCTCTAATAACCACAGATGGCACATCAGTAAGTCCATTGTATGGACTCTAATAGAATAAAATGCCAGTTCCCTAATATCTACAATTGGTGCCCTCTGGAAGCTATCATTAGTTGAATTGGGAGAGGTGGACCAAACTCAGAACATTCTCAGTCATCACTCACTATTCCCAGGTACCCCTCCAGTCCATCCTCTTCTGCTTATGATGACTCCTATGACACAGGAGTGGAAGTTCTGCCACCAGCCTCTTAATGAGTCCGACAGAGGTTTCTCGGGGGGGCTAGGAGAACAGTCTTCTCAAAGCACTGAACTAATGATGAGTGGCATCTCACCTTTGCTTAAAAAAACAGTATTTTATTATGTGTGTTCTTCCTATTTGAAAAGCTTTAACTCTGAATTTCTTTCTTAATATCAACAACAAAACCTTGCTCCTTTTAGGCTTACAAAAGACTACTTAGTCTTATGGGTTCTCAAACTTTGTATGAGAAACATCATTCCCAACTTCTCTTCCACAGTCCTAAAACAGGCAGGGTTGTCGAAAGCATTACATGCTTTGACACTAAACTCCTTACACATAGTAAGGGCTCAATAATTAGTTCTTAAGCACTTACCATACAGACCTAATTCTAGTACAGTGTGGTACGTTGTACACAACATTTTGTATTGGAATTACTTGCTTATGTGTATCTCCCATTTCACGGTGTGTGCCTCCAGGAAGTAACAGTTATTACTATGCACGGAATTTTGCATGTAACAATTAGTTTCACAACATTCTGCCATGATTCTTGATATAAAAGCAGTTATTAACATTGTTATCTCTGTTGTTCTCTCCCCACGATATACTGATCAGTGAAAAAATGATTTAAGAAATGAGGAATTTAAAGACCAGATGGTACGGTTGATCAGTACCCTCAATTATCAATTAATTATATATTATAGTACATCATCCTGAAGACTTTCAGCATTTCCTAGATATGATATTTCTTACTTGGAACCTTGATACAGCTTTGACTTTCAAATCTATAACATAGGGACAATTTTATCTATTATGCTATCTTAAAATTATGATTTTGGTATTTAATAACTAAATTACCTAGGATGGGTATACCTTGCACCACTTTGTTCAATCAGACATGAAGAAGAAAACTTACAACATAGAAATGCTCTAAAAATTTTGTGTTCATTTGAAAAATAAAGTACCAACTCTGCATTTGGTTAATGTTCATTTTATAAAATACCTTAAAAGAACAGATAAAATAGTTGAGGTTACATAATAACCAGAATTGAAAAGGAATGAAGAAAATATAAATTAATGGAACATGTGACTATTTTGCCACATTACACAAGTTTTAAAAAGGCATTTAAAAAACAATAAAATAGTAATTGGGGAAAAAACCCTTCACTCTATCGGTGTCTTTGTCTGGAAAAGTTTCCCAGAATCACTAAAATTCCAGGTCAACAGGCAGTACCTGAATTATTCAAATATACTGTAATTTGCTTTCAAATCTGTTAGCTGAAGAGAAACTAACATTTTAACCAAGTTAATTCAGTGCAAATCAAAGCTTCAAGTTGAAAATCCGAGAGAAAAAATAACGTTCAAACTGTAGGAAATGCTTCTGGAACTGAAAAATAAAAAATTCACATTACGAACAAATCTTTGCAAGTGTTCTTGGTATATGAAATGCTGAGTTAACAAATGGGACCCTTTTAAGTTGCAATGAGGGCTCTATTATGAAGACTATTTGCAATGTGGGCAGAAGGGAAACGGAGAAGGAAGAGCTGAAAGTTGTATTTGTGGAAGGAAATTCAAGTTAAGCAAAAACTGCTTTTATTCAATTCTAGAAAAATTTGGTGAGGGTATATCATACATTAGGGGAAAAAACAGATTATGGAGATAAATTTACTGGAATATAATTGAGGATAAGTCCTTCTACCTCCAGAACATGTTTGGGTTGGGGGAGAAGGGTTCACATTGGCCAGATATCAATAAATTAATTTGTCTTAATTTTATGAATTATATGAAATGCTGACTTAAAAAAAATTTGCGTTACCAAATCTTGAGAAATGGAAGGAATGTCTAACTTTTTGAATCACAGTGAAACAAAGTCTGGATCACTTCCAAACATCAACTATCAGTCGCTTTTACAATAAAAAAACATTTAATTATTTTCTCAAAAAAATTTTTTTTAGGTTTAATTTCATAGGTGATAGATAGCAATGGGTCTTTGTTGACAGTGTTTAATAGAAAGTTTTCCTCTTTTCATTCCATTCTGTATGAATTTTTGATTCATTCTTTTCAAATGACAATACTAATGGTTGCTATTGAGTACAAGATGCAGAGATTCTGGTGGAGGCTGGTAAATTTTCTCTGCAAAATAGATATCCCTCCCACAAATTTCAGGTCCAAGTTTGCTATATCATCACCAGTCCTTCTTTTTTAATTCTCACTGGAAATTTTCAAATATTATTTATAAACGGAATGAGAATGTGCTGTTTTCTAACATTCTTATTTTACATCATTCTCTAATCTATTAGGAATGTTATAACAATGTTATCACAATGAAGTGGCAACTTTTGGCTTTTAGACTGTACCTATCAGCAGCAATCATAAAAAGGCCAAAATAAACTGTGCTACTCCAAGGTGACATCTGAAACTGTTAAAACAAGTGAAAAATCACAATGACAAAAAACAGGGGTTCATAAAGCAAAAGAAAACGTGCCAATACAATTTTAAAAGTGTAAGAAACTTCGCTCGTATACCTACTTATGGGAAGAACATCTAAGGCAGACGAAAAATTCCCCTCCAGGGACATAACCAGCTCAGAACCATCTGAAAAAATTCATACAAAAGCAGAAATTACCCAAGGCCTGTGAGTTCTCATCTCATACCATGAAAGCAAGACTGTCAAAAAAAAAAAAAAAAAAAAGGGCACATGTCACTTTGCAAAGGAATGCATTACCTCCTCTCCCAGGGTCAACTTAGTCTACATGTCTTTTGTATAACATTAATTTTCACCAGATCTACTAGATGTTCAGTCATGTCCTTCCAAGTCCTGAAGGCAGGCTCACTATCTGATGCATCTTTGTATATCGCAGTGGGTGTGAAGTGAAAAGAGGAGACACAGAAATATGCACAAACCCATAATTAGTCCGTATTTAGAAAACTTTCTGTGGCTTCAAGCATTTACACAGAGATGATTTTATCTCATTTCTCCATTAATTTCTCATTAGAAATGAGTAACAGCTAATTCTAAATTCTAAACCTTTGGGGGAAACTTTCCAGGCTTTGTCTTATCAGACAGACTTTGTCATTAAAAATACAGAAAAACAAAAATAAAACATTACGCTGGAATCAGCTTTTGAGAGTTTGTGCTTTAAAAACACAGTGCCTAACAGCACCAAGCACATCATAGATGCTCAATAAATAGTTGTAGATTTATTAAGAGTAATAACATGGTGTCTGAAGAACCAACCACCATTTTGTAAAAAAGGCAAAACTGTATTAATTTTTTTCACCTGATTTGATAGAGCAGTGTGGAGCAATGAACGAGAGAATCTGCAAATTAAATATGACCTCTAATTTGATTGCAGAGAGGAAATTACTGAGAACTTTGCAAAAAACATCGCCACAGTAGCCTTGACACTTAACAGTGCATCAAAGAGTTAACGTTTCCACTGCAGTATGAACTGGTTCCCACAGCTCTCAGGAGCTAGAATGTAATCACTCAAATGGGAAATGAACTCTAATTCCATTTCAGAAAAGGTATGCCCATAATTTTATCTGAGAATTATTAATATATTTCAGGGAGAGTGCCCTCTCATTCAGCATCCCTCAAAGTAATGTAGGCATAAGTATCAGAAGACCTTGTTATATAACTTCAGTACAGCACTGTCTTATACAAGTGTTACATCTTCCACATCTGTAGTAGCTGCTTTCCAATATTGCAGATTTTTACAGTTGTGATACCCCGGGATGACAGACATGAGAATATGGAGGATTAAAGGTCACAAAGCTTAAACTAAAAAGGGAAGCTCCTTGATGTTATGTGAAAACCCCTTACAAAAGGCAGTTTATTGACAAATAAATGCTCTATACATTCAGGTTTTCCCAATCTCTCAATAGTGATGGTTTCCAAAGAAGAAACTCAGTAGTGAAGAACACATAATTTTTTTTTTTTTTTTTGCATTAGTTTGATCAGTTGAAAATCAGAACCTTTAAAGCATCTTGTGAATGGGAGAAATGGAATTGGACCTGGGCAGGGCCTGGGGATGGTAGAGAGCCAAATGAATAAATGATTTAACTGTTGATGTGGACAGCAAGAGAGCTGGTGGGAAATGTTACAGCAGACCTGACCACGCTACAAAGGGTCTGTGAAGAACACAGTACAGGTATCAAAAACCCAAAACAAAACTAAACTAAAAACAAGAACAAACTGCAACTTTGCCAAATTGTAAACAGGAAAAGCATTTCACAGGTTCAAAGTTCAAGGGAAGTAAACGTCTTTAAATTATTTTTGTCAGTTCAACCCTGATTTAAAAATATGGCTAGCAAAAACAAGGAAGCCACAGCAGTCGACATCCTGAGCAAGCATCGGTCTCCTTTGAGAAGCTGCACTCCCAAGCCTCTTCTCAAGCTGCTACATGAGGAGGAGACACTTCTCTCTTGAATTCCATCTCAGTTCTCTCATTTCCACACTCCTGGAATACGTCGATTGCTTTCCATTTTGGTGTCTACAGTTCTGGTTGCTATAGATTTAGACGTGGGGATACTGGAGGAGGGAAGGCAAATTCTCGGAGGATGCTCCGGGCAACTTCAACATTATTCTGGGCTATCTCTAAGGCTCTCTTCACCTCTTCAAAGGCATAACCCTCTCCCATGAGTTTTGCAATTTTTGCATCGACATTTTCCAATGCCGCCTCAGGCCCATGGGGTTTTCTGTGGTGAATTTCTGGTGCAGTCCTGCGGGGTCGTGGTTTAGGGGGTCTGGCTGGTGCTTGTGAACCATCTGTGTAGATTTTTAAAGAGAGATACCATTTAGACAGAGATAAAAATGAAGGCAAGACAACATAACAGCATTATCTCATTTCCTATGGAAATATTATTTCTTGTTTTCTTTACAAATAAAACTTTCTTTTTCAATTTTTCCATACTATTGTGGGATAGGTAGTATTATCCTCATTTTGAACAAGAGAAAATTAAGGTACAGTGTGTTGGTAGTTCCACTGAGAAATTTACACATTTCCTTCTCTATTTCACATTTTATTCTTCAGACCATATGTAGTCAGAGAGATAGAGAAAGAAAAAAATAATCAAAATAACTATCTAAAAAAGGAAGGCTTTCACTTTGTTTAGCAATATAGTTCACGTTCTACTACAGCACAGGCTCTGGTTGATGGTTCTCCAGAGGAACAATCTTGCGAGGTTTCTATGAGAGGAAACTATGTTTACAAGCTCACAGATATCCATGGCAGACCATTCCCACAGGTCCTGAGTCCCATCCATGTCACAGCAGAACTGCTCTAAAACAGATGCTCTGTAGCATCTTCCTGGCTGATTTTTCAAGTTAAAAATCTGTGCCTTACTGATGCTAGGAGGAAAGAAAAACAACAACAAAATAGTAGATGCTTTGACTCTACTGTAGTCAATAGGTTGAACAGAAGGAAACTCAGTGCTTTGCTCCAACATTTTATAAAGATTGCAATGTAAGAAGTTTTGCTTAAGAACGAGCAAACCTAGAACAAATATTAGGAGTAGAGAATTGGGTTCTAGATCAGACCCTTGGTGATAATACAGCCTCCAGTTTAAACCAATGACACTGGTACCCATGAATGGACAGTAACCTTAAGGAAAAAAAAAAGGTCCCAGGTCATGGGCTAGCTAACTTGACAGGGCACTTTCATCATGTATTTCCTAGTTATGTATAGCACTTTATCTCAAAAGCCTAGACAAAAAATATACACACACACTATACATATGCATGTATACATTTTGTTTTTTGTTTTTTTTTTTTGAGATGGAGTTTTGCTCTTGTTTCCCAGGCTGGGGTGCAATGGCGCAGTCTCGGCTCACTGCAACCTCTACCTCCCGAGTTCAAGCAATTCTTCTGCCTCAGAATGCCAAGTAGCTGGGATTACAGGCGTGCGCCACCAGGCCTGGTTAATTTTGTATTTTTTTAGTAGAGACAGGGTTTCACCATATTGATCAGACTGGTCTTGAACTCTTGACCTCAAGTGATCCACCCACCTTGGCCTTCCAAAGTGCTGGGATTAAAGGAATGAGCCACTGTGCCTGGTCCAGATATACATTTTAAAATGTCAGCTTTATGTCATGAAATACACTTATGGATTGAAGACTATCTAGACAACAATATTTAATACCTTTCTCCTAGACCACTGACAAATGCCAAACAACAAATTCAAGGACACAGTTAAGTGAATGGTGATCTGAGGTTAAAAGCCAAATGTCTCGTACTTAATGTTCCCATCTTGTCTCCCCACTTCTGCTGCCTCAGCAACTTTCCCAATGGCTTCAGGAGATACTGTAAGCGGATATTTTCAATAATAATAAATTTAAATAATAAAAGCTAATCTAATGTATTATTTAATATTTTTCCTTTCTAAATCAAAAGACGTGTATTTTTCCATGAGAAGGTAACTTGTAAAAATATCACCCTATATACAATTCTAGCAATATCAATATAACATATATAAAACAAAGCCTCTAGGATAAAAGCACTGTTTCCAAAAATAGTATGTCTTTTTTTTTTTTTTAATGAGATGAAGTCTCATTATGTTGACCAGGCTGGTCTCGAACTCCTGTCCTCAAGCAATCCTTCCATCTTGGCCTCCCAAAGTGCTAAAATTATAGGCGTGAGCCACCATGCCCGGCCATGATGACAGTCTTATTTTAAATTATTCCTTTTTTGTAACAAAATGTCCAATTTTAAAAAACATTATAGCTGTAGACAATGTATATTAAAGTATGCCCATACGTAAGAACATATAATTTCTGGTCCTTGCTAATATCTATACTGTTTCTTGGATCTGTAATTAAACATCTCAAACTATTATCGTCTGCTACATTGCATCTCTTAGTATGTTTTGTAGTTCCATTTATTTTCCTGTTAAGTATTTTCATTATATCATAAAGGAATGGACAATAAATTGTGTTTTGCTTTTAACCATTTTCAAAAACTATTAGAAATTATTGAAAGCTTTCCTTTAACCAATTACCAAAAAATTCATACATTTAAATTATGTCTCCTGAGACACTTTTAGATGAGAAAAGTACCTAGACTTTGATACAAAAGTACCTAGACTTAGAAAACAATTAACTTGTTTTCTACAGGTAATTTTCTAAGAGATTTTTAATAGTTATTTTGTCTGTCCAGGATACTGAGATGTGCACACGAATGCCAGGCATGTTTGAAAAGAACAGCTGTGTATACAAGTGGGATGAATAATAGTATTCATGACAGCCAGGAATGCCTCTAATAAATAGTATAATTGGCAATTGAATCTTAAATCTCAGTTTGGCCCCTAAGATCTTGGGCTAAGCAATTTACTTTCACAATTCTCATTGTCCAAAGCTACTTTTATATATCTGTGTTTAGAGGTATTATTTATCCCTTTTCAATCAGGTAGTATGAGAATTAATGTAATATACAGTATATGGACTGAGGAGACCATTAAAAATAAAGAACAATGAATTAATGTTTATAATGACAAGTGCTATACTCAAATGCTATAGACCAGCAATTACTATAAATTAACAGGAATGCCAGAGAAGTATGAAAGAAGTTTTGTTGTGAGTATCTGATTCTAGAGAAAGCCTTCTAGAAGAATATTAAAAAGCAAGATCTGGTGCAACCTGAACTACTAGTTGTTAAAAAGGGGATCATTTCCGCATTGACCATAAAAGCAAATTGCTTAGAACCAACCACTCTGTCTCTTCCCAAAGCTCAGACGCAGCCTTCACTTTCTCCACTTTTCTTTTTCACAGTATCTAAAAGTGGATTACACCAGGTCCTCATTTACTTTAGCACTTTCAAATGTGTAGGATAGTGGAAGGAAGCAATGAAATGAAGACGAAACTATCTTCTGTTCCCCTAAAAGTTATTATATTGCAGTTTGGGAGCACATTGAAATAACTATAAATTTTATCAACCCTATGGAATTTCTGTACCTGAATACACATCATCCTTAAAAATAGTTATTTTGGAAGAGCATGTTTGTTCTAGTGCTAACATCCATGTTCATGGTATTTTTGAACTCTTACGACTAATTACAGCAGTATCAAAATAAGTACAAGAATGTGAGCCACAGGATATAAGTAGTACATCTTCTGGGGTACCAATTTTATTAAAGGATATAAGGTCATTAATATTTTAAAGCACTGAAATGAATACAGATACACTAAGGAGTAAAATACAAAGTTTGCACAAATTTTTGAGATAAAACAGACTTTGAAACAATGTCTTGCACTAAAAAACTAAATATTGACCTCTTCTACCTAATGCCCCAGTCCTTTGTTGTTCACTGGAAACTCTTCTTTGAGAAAGAAAGATTTGAGAAGCCCTGGTTTCAGAGTAAATTTTGATTCAGCTTTCCTTTTCTGAGCATATAAAAGAACAGAGTGATGTGGCAGATCATCAATAAGACAGTTACTATACCACTGTTACGACTTGAGACCATCACTGCAACAGTTACTACTGTTACTACTTGAGACCATCATTAGGAGAGTTACTACTGTTACTACTTGAGACCTTCACTACACAGTTAACTGCTGTTACTACTTGGAGACCTTCATTACAACAGTTACTACTGTTACTGCGTGAGACTGTCATTAGGACAGTTACTACTGTTACTGCCTGAGTCCCTCACTACAAGACTGAACAAAGGGACAAACGCAGAAATGATAACAACAACAACAACAAAAAAAAACAAAACCAAAAGAAACTGTTTTAAGGAAAGGGTTGGGGAAGAAGAAGAGAACTCCCTGCTTCTAGTGAGCAAAGGCAGCACCCTGAGCTTCTACAGCCCTTTGTATTTATTGGGTAGAAAAAGCAGGGAGGGGGAGGAGGTAATGATGGGTCAGCTGCTTGACTGATCACAGGTTCACATTATTGTTAACAGGCTTCAGATGTGCCTAATCACAAGCAACATTTGTGCCTGGGTCTGACTGCCCTCAGCATCCCTTCCGGGCAGCAGACGCAGTTTGTCAGTTTCCCAACATTCTTTTAGGAGAACAGTTTGCTGTTTACTCGTATAGCCTCCAGTGGTATACTGAGTTGACCACCACCCTCATTCTTTCAGCCTCCAACAGAATGACATACAGAACAATACTGGATGGCATGGGAATTAGCATAACATGGTTGGAATAATACCTAGAACGATTACTCGAGGTCATACATTCTAGGCGGGGGCAATCATTGAAACTTGTGGGATGAAAAAAAAAAAAAAACAATTTTAGATGCTAATATGGTTTGTGGCCTTCCCAAGAGCCATAGTACATACAGATATATCTCTATCTCTATGTCTACTAAGCACATCTGTGGTATTAAACTGTCATTTTTCCTGGGGACAGAAAGCTTATTAGGAAAAAAAAAAAAACAAAAAACAAAGCAGTGTCCAAAAGACCCACAGGCAGACCATAATTTTTTAAGTGAGACACACTGCTGTATATCTACAAAACCTCTATTTAAAGAATTGAGAATAGTTCACTTCAGTGGCTGTCAATTATTTTGCCACAAAAAGCCTTTATTACTCCTCTCATCATATAAAGATTGGGTTGAGTTTTCTTTTTGTCTATATTTTGAAAGATGTGTCTAATAAGCAAATGCTATTGTATTGATGAATACATTTTCCCATTTTCTATTATACTGGATCATGTTCAACAATAAGTATAACACTGAGCTTCTATATATCTAGACAATAGCAAAGGGATTTAACGTGAAAGTTTTCTTGTATATAAAGTTAGGGTTTCTGTTATGGTTTCAAAATGTTA